GATGAGGGAGGTAATGAGGGCTTCCGAACTTTGTCCAGTGTGGCTCACATGGTGCTGGGAGAGCGAGTGTACCTCTTACCACACGAGGAGCTGCTGCTACTGCACATCTGGTCACAATCAGCAAAAGTGGGCTTGAACTCAGGACCTGGGCACTGTCCCTTAGCTTTTTTTTTTTTTTGATTGTAGAGCTTAAACGCAGGGCCTGGGTACTGTGTTTGAGCCACAGTGCCACTTCTTCAATAAGAGTCTTATAGACTTTCCTGACAAGACTGGGTTGAACTGTGATCCTCGGATCTCAGCCTCCTGGGTAGCTAGGATTTACAGGCGTGAGCCACCAGCGCCCAGCTCCAGCTCCACATTTTTTAACTCATTAATTGGAGATAAAGAGTTGCATGGACTTTCCTGTCCAGACTGGCTTTGAACAACCATTTTCAGCCTCCTAAGTAGCTAGGATTACAGGTGTGAGCCACCTGCACCTGGCCTGAGAGGTAAAACCCAGACACACTGGGAAGATAGCTGCTTCTCCAGGTCAGCCCGTGATCGTTGCTACCTTGAAGGAGAAAGCTGGGCCTCCCCATGAGCCTCTGTGCCAGTTAGTTCCTAGGCACCACCTAGGAAGTCAGCTGAGGCGGGGCTGGCTGGTGGCTCCCAGCTGTCCGCTCTAGTGTGGCCTGTTGAAGGCTATGGCCACAGTGCCCTCTTTTGTTGAAGTCTCCAGGCTAGTGGGAGATTCCTTGATTCACTGCTGCACGCTTCTCCAGGCTTTAAGGAGCTGCTTGGGTCCTTCTTTCCTTCCTCCCTTGCTCCCTCCCTACCTCTCTCATTTGCTGCCTTTTTCAAAACCCCCCTTCCTTTCCTTCTCCTTCCCTCCCTTCCTTCTGAGCAGCACAGCGTGGGTCAGAGGTGGGGAGCAGCAGGACCTGGGAGGGAAGGAGGGAGGGAGTTGCTCTCAGCCCCCACACCCCTGTGGCTTCTCCTGACAGGAAACACACTGGGGAGAAGCCCTTCGAGTGTCCCAAATGTGGCAAGTGTTACTTTCGGAAGGAGAACCTCTTGGAGCATGAAGCCCGGAATTGCATGAACCGCTCGGAACAGGTACTTGGGAGCTACCCAGGTACTTGTGGGCCGACATAGTGTCACATCGTGTCACATGTGTCTTCATGCCATCTGGGAAGGGCCCCCAGGAGACCGTCTCTAATGGGGACTGCAAACTCAGCTACAGGGTCCTTGGGCATCATGGATGCCACACCCTGGTGCAGGTGGAGACCACAGTTCCACGGGCAGAAAGGGACAAGGCTTGGAGGAACACTGTAGGGGACATTGGGTTCCTGTGAGGCCTCAGCCCAGCTCCACCTTGGAGCCTGGGGGGTGGGGGCTTCGGTGGGGGCTAGCTGCAGGGAAGGGCCTTCTGGTCACCTGCACACCCCACTGCCGCCCTGTGTGGGTAGGGTCCGGATGAACCTCCCCCTTCTCTTCCCAGAGGCCCCTTGGTGGCATCTGGGACCCAGGACTGTGGACGAGTCCGACGGGCCTGGCTTCAGCCTGGCTGGGCCTGAGCAGGGTCCAGCAGGTGATAGTTGGCAGTGCTCAGTGCCGGGCAGGGCAGGCGGGTCACATGTCGCCCTCTCCCACCCTAGCGTCCCCCACCCCAGCAGCAAGTGGAAGCCCGGGCAGAGGCTGCCGCCGCAGGCACCGGCGCCCCCTGATGCCGGCCCTGCTTGCCCCTCACACCGCCAGGTCTTCACGTGCTCCGTGTGCCAGGAGACCTTCCGCCGGAGGACAGAGCTGCGCACGCACATGGTGTCGCACACAGGGGAGATGCCCTACAAGGTCAGGCTCAGCCGCTCCCAGGACTGTGGCTGGATGGGGGTGGGGCATCGTTGGCACCCGGTCCTTCCTGTGGAGTCCTTTGCCTCTCCTTAGATGGCTGTCAAGGGACCTGCTTGCCTTGTTAATCTAGTGACTCCATACTTGAGGGTAGGGCCACTAGCCACCGTCTCATGACCCTTTTGGAGCCCATCTCTTGCCATGGAGGGCAGGTCGGAGTTCTTCAGGACATGGCCTGGTCAGCTGCGCACTGCCTCCTCCCGAGCCAGCCTTCACGACAGACCAGGGACCCCTGTGCGCCTTGCTGGGCCCTGCGCTCATCATCCTGCGGGACAGCAGGGTTGTGTCAGTCCGGGCTGTTCTGGAGGGGACTGCGCCTGTTTTTCAGTGCTCCTCCTGCTCCCAGCAGTTCATGCAGAAGAAGGATTTGCAGAGCCATATGATCAAGCTGCACGGAGCCCCCAAGCCTCACGCGGTAAGCCCCCGGCAGGGCCAGGGCAGGAGGTGCGGCACTGAGGCTCCCGCGCAGCCCGGCCGTTCCCTTGTCCTTACTTCTAAGCCCCTGCCTGTCCTGTGCGACAGTGTTCCACCTGTGCCAAGTGCTTCCTGTCCCGCACGGAGCTGCAACTACACGAGGCCTTCAAGCACCGCGGGGAGAAACTGTTTGTGTGTGAGGAATGTGGGCACAGGGCCTCCAGCCGCAACGGGCTGCAGATGCACATCAAGGCCAAGCACAGGTCTGGGTTGTTGTCCCTTTGCCCTGCAGCTTTTCTGGGGTGAGGGGCACCTTCGGGGCCTTGCTAGGCGGGGGGAGGGGGATGGGGGGCTGAGGCTGAGGCCAGGCTCTGTGCCTGAGGGCCACTTCTCCCATTTCCCCAACTTCCTCCTGTGGCACCCTGCACCATGGACTCCCTTCCTGCCCAGCATGCCCCTATGGCAGCAGGAAGGGGGCTGCATCCTTCAGTGATGGCGTCTACTATGTCCCCTCCTCTCCAGGAATGAGAGGCCCTACGTGTGTGAGTTCTGCAGCCATGCCTTCACGCAGAAGGCCAATCTCAACATGCACCTGCGCACACACACGGGCGAGAAGCCCTTCCAGTGTCACCTCTGTGGCAAGACCTTCCGCACCCAAGGTGAGCTAGGCCGGTTCCCTTCCTTGTCCTGGGGACACGCTCAGTGGCTGAGCTCTGCCTTGTCCCCCACAGCCAGCCTGGACAAGCACAACCGAACCCACACAGGCGAGAGGCCCTTCAGCTGCGAGTTCTGCGAGCAGCGCTTCACGGAGAAGGGGCCTCTACTGCGGCATGTGGCCAGCCGCCACCAGGAGGGCCGGCCCCACTTCTGCCAGATCTGTGGCAAGACCTTTAAAGGTACCTGGGCAAGCGTAGGACGAGGGAGGGCCAGACTTCCACTTCCCACTGACCCTCCACTGAGTTGGAGGACTCCGCAGAGAGGGCAGGGGTGGAGGTTTGCACATGCTCCTTAGCAGAGCCTTCCTGCCAGCAAATGTCTGCCACCTCCCCTGCTAAGATGCGCGAGTGCATCTGCTGATGGCCCCCAGCTGCTGCATGGCAGCGGTCCTAGGGTGTTGCTGCAGAGCCATGTGCTCCTCCTCCTCCTCTAATGCTGGTGGCCACCGTGTCTCTATCCCCCAGCGGTAGAGCAGTTACGTGTGCACGTCCGACGACACAAGGGGGTGAGGAAGTTCGAGTGCACTGAGTGCGGCTACAAGTTCACTCGGCAGGTAGGACGGGCCCTGGAGGCCACCCCTGCCCCCTCCGTTCTGCCCCCCCAGACCTGAGCCCGCCCTCTCTCCAGGCCCACCTGCGGAGGCACATGGAGATCCACGACCGCGTGGAGAACTACAATCCCCGGCAGCGCAAGCTCCGCAACCTGGTCATTGAGGACGAGAAGGTGGTGGTGGTGGCCCTGCAGCCTCCCGCAGAGCTGGAGGTGGGCTCGGCCGAGGTCATCGTCGAGTCCTTGGCCCAGGGTGGCTTGGCCACCCAGCTCCCTGGCCAGAGACTGTGTGCAGAAGAGAGCTTTGCTGGCTCAGGTGTCCTAGAGCCCTCGCTCATCATCACAGCTGCTGGCCCCGAGGACTGTGACACATAACCCACCCTGCCCACTTGGCCCAGCCCCCAATACACATGTGGCTTTATACGCAGTTGTCCAGTGGTCTGTTTCTGGGGCTTGAACTCAGAGCCTGGGTCCTGTCATTCAGTTTTCTAGCTCAAGGTTAGCACTCTACCAGTTGAGTGACAGCTCCGTTCCAGCTTTTGTTAGTGGTGGTGGTTAGAGGTAAGAGTCTCATGACTTTACTGCCTGTGGTGGCTTTCAGATCTAGCCCCCTAAGTAGCTGGGATTACAGGTGTGAACCACTGGTCTCTAACTCCTGCTCTCCTTTTAGGATATTAGAAGCAGTAGTTGTTGGTGGAGGTGATGCCTGCTAGCAGGGTAGCATTCACTGGAGCCTTTAATCAGAATGGAATTGCTAGGTCCTACATGGTAGTCCTGCTGGCCAGTCAGGACTTGGGCCCAGTTCAAGTTCTGCATGGAACTACCTCTATCTGGAGGCACGTAGCAAGCTAGCCTGGCTGGCAGAATGCTCTCAGGCCCCATCCCTTAAGAAGGCCCTGATTTGGTTTGCAGGTTGCTGAGGTAAAGCACATGCAAGCTACTGAGATTGTAATTTCTTCCCACCTCCATTTATTAACAAGTTACCGCTTCACCTCCACCTTTAATGGAACTAGTAACATGTTCACAAAGATTAAATGAGAAAACTCATTTAACCTTTAAACTCATAAATAAACCATAAATTCATTTAAACTCAAACGCATTTTCCAGGGCTTTAGGGATCTGTCCTCAGGACTGCTCACCTGTGCCCGGTGAGCTGATCATTGGGTTACTTCATACCAGCTGGTTGGGCTTTCTCACAACATGGTGGCCGAGTTCTAACCGCAGGTTCTGACCTACTGCTCTGCACTGCACAGGGGAAGAAATGAGCTTCGAGACTGTTCCTCAGTTGTTTCTCAGTGTTTTTTCTGCTTCATACCCTGTGCTGAACTGAGATGGGAAAGGGCCTGAACCCCTCTCAGATTCTAGGTCTTCCTTCAACACTGGCCGCAGCCCAGATTCCTGAAGACGGCAGCAGGAGGGCACCGACGCCAATGTACAGGAAACATTTTTATTTCAAAAAGTATCGAAGGCATCCCAAAAACTTAAGACAGGACACTGGACAGGTAGGCCTACAGAACAGACTGCAGCAAATGCACAAACCTTCCCCTGCGGTGTGACTGACTGATGGGGAAAGGGGTGCCTTCGTTCTACGAGTCTGTGGGGTCATAAATATAGAAAACCTCATAGAAAGGCATTAAATACTTGTTTCTGAATTTTCATAATTTACCTCCCCAGATAAAAGTTCTCTGTACAGGTCATGTGTGAACCCCACCTCCAGCCCTGGCTCCAAGGTTGGTGCAGACACCAGTGAGTGGTAGTGACAGTGCAGCCCAGAATCTGGGCCAGAGACGAGGCTGAGGGACACCCAGCTGGGCCACAGGCTGGAGGGTGCTGTTGTGGGGGGTCCTGGTAGTAGACACATGGGCAGAGAAGGATGCAGACTCCAGCCTAGCCCTTCTGTACAGGCCCCAATGGGATGGGCTGTCACGATGGTGAAACCAGACTCTCAAGACTTCCCCATGTGTCTGACGCAACCTGGCCCAGTGCACACCTGCGCTTCTGAGCCGTTACAGGCTCATGGCCCAGCCCTGCAATGTGATGGGAGGCAAACCCACAGGGCATGGACACCCTCTGTGGCCTCAGCAGACCTCCACAAAGCTGGGTGGCAGCCACAGGCTGGGGGACAGAGGAACACACTGGGGGATCCACTGGGCCAGCTATCCAAAGACAGCGCTGCCCACTTCGTCTCACGTGGTGCCACCTGTGTGCATGGCACAGAACAGAGCACAGGCAGACCAGAGCTGCTCAGCAGCCCTGCGAGGTGCCCGAAATGGCCAAAAGGTCTTTAGGTGATAGTGCAGACTGTTCTGCTTCAAGCAAGAACTCGCCTGTACTGGTTAGAGCTCTGGCAATGGCACTGCAGAGATCTGAAAACAAGACCAAACCCTCCTGACCCTCCCTAGGCTTCCCACCTCCTCAAAACATCCAACTTCAAGCATCTGAAACTTGGAGCACACCGAGGTTACCCTCATCCAGGGCTTCCTTCGAAGAAGGCTCCTTTACTCCGAGACCAGTGCAGGTCTTACAGTTTCAACCCTGCACTTCACACACTGCGCATTGTTGGCTTCTCCACTGACCTGTGGATGGGGGTAGAGCCAGCATTTGCCATGTCTACGTTCTCCAGGACCAGAAAGAAAACTCAAAATTAAGCTCATACTCTACCTTCAGTCTCCCAGCCCTGTACACACCTCTAGGAAACCCAGCCTTGTAAGATCCTGGCAGTGGTTAAGATGCTAGGCAGGCAGACACTCCTCTGCCCGGGAAGCTGGCCTCAGGAACATGCAGCACTGGATGTGGAGGATGGGGCTTCTCTCAGCACTGATCCGCCTGACTCACTCTCACAGGTGGGAGCATGCAGGCTCAGGTGGTGGCAGTGCGACATACGCTGCCTGAAGAGCTGGTGTCACAGGTGGGAGCTGACCTCTGGGAGCCAGAGCCACATGGCCCTGGGGAAGCAGCTCTTCCTTGACCAAGGGAGAGGCCTTCACAAACGGCTTTGGCTCCAGCTGTGATGCAGGCGTGGATGGCACAGAAATCTTGCAGATGGATGCTGGGGCTTACACAGCACCCCGGAGCCTGTGTTGCACCTGGTCATCTCAGCAGTATGGGGCACAAAGGACGGGGCCCTTGCCCCATGGGCTGGGTCCCTTACATCAAGGCCCTCCCTTGGCCAGGCTGGGGCTAGTGCAGCTGGTCAGGGTTGTGCAGAGGCTGGTGTCGGCCTGCGTCCATGTCCTGGCTGCCCCCATCCAGCTCGAAGCCACGCCCACCCACAGGCGTCTGTGGCATGAACTGGCGGAAGATGCTGACGCTGCCGTGCCAGAAGGTGGGCTCCGGCAGCCGCCCCACCACACTCCAGGCCCGGGCCTCTGGGTCGTAGGCCTCTACCACGTCCGAGAGTTCAAAAGTGTTGTCGTATCCCCCAGAAACGTAGAGTTTCCCTCCCAGGACGGCCAGGCTGCCCCCGACGTGCACCTGTGGGCAAGAGGGAGGCCAGTCTGGATCAGCAGCTGGGGCCAGCACCACTCCCCACCACCCCATTCTTCTCTCCTAAGGTGTAGGGAGGCTGAGCCCTCTTCAGGGGTGGCCTGCTCACTTCCTAGACATACCAACCTCCAAGGAAATGTGACCAGGACAGGCCGATGCACTTCTTGCACACAACTAGGTAGAAGGGCTCTGGGGGGGTGAGAGGGGTCACGGGCCTGCCTGGGCCCAGCAAGGGGTCCTTCCCACAGTAGAAGCTGTACCCAGTGCTCCTATAAGCCCCACCCTGCAGGGACTGTCCATCTCACTGAGGCTCCTACGGGACGTGGTGCTGGCCCTGGGGCCCCTTGCACTGTCCAGCAGGCAGTCAGCGCACACATACTCCACCGAGCTCCCCGCAGGACAGTGGAGCAGTGTGGGCGCCCAATAAAGATACTTATTTTATGCTGGTCCTAGGGCTTGAACTCAGGACCCAGGCTCTGCCCTGAGCACTTTTTGCTCTAGGCTAGCACTCTACCAAGCCACAGTACCACTTCTGGCTTTTTCTGAGATTAACTGGAGATAAGAGTTTCACAGGGAAGTGGCACTGTGGCTCAAGTGGTAGAGTGCTCGCCTTGAGCTGAAGAACTAAGGGAGAGCATCCAATGCCCCATGACCAACAAAACAAACAAGAGTTTCATGGACTTTCCAGCCTGGGCTGGCTTTGAACCTTGTTTTTTTTTTTGGTCCGGTTGTGGGTCCTGAACGTGGCCTGAGCACTGTCCCTCAGCTCTTCAGCTCAAGGCTAGTGCCCTACCACTTGAGCCACAGCGTCACTTCCGGTTTTTTTCTTTTTGCTTATGTGGTGCTGAGGAATGGAACCCAGGGCCTCAGGCATGCAAGGCAAGCGCTCTACCACTGAGCCAACTTCCCAGCTTGGCTTTGAATCTTGATCCTCAGATCTCAGCCTCCTGAGTAGCTGGGATTATATGAGCCCTCAGGCTAGGAGTTCCTATCAGATATAGTTGAGGTCACTCAGTCCCTATAGATTTCCTGTCCAAGCTCATCACCTCCAGCCACACTAAGCTGCTGATGGCACACAAACATGCAGGGCACACCTGCTATAAGGACTTTGCACTTGCTGTCCCTCTGAAACACCTCCAGGTAACTGTCTTTCTGTTTGCCCACTCCAGGGCTTGAATCAAGGAGCATGCGCTTGCTTGGCTTGCTTGTTCACTTCTGGCACTCTACCATTTGAGCTATGCCTCCAGTTAGAGACTTTTTTGCACAGGCTAGCTTTGAGCCACGATTCTCAGATCTTAGCCTTCTGAGCAGCAAGATTTCAGGCCCCTGGCACCTGGCTGTAATTATGTCTTGCTCTTCTCCCCTCCTTTTGCCCTGTGGTACATAGTTGGTGCTCAATAAATAAAGAACAAATGTAGGGCTGGGAAGGTGGCTCAGTGGTAGAGCGCTTGACTCGCATGCATGAGGCCCTGGGTTTGACTCCTCAGCACCACAGAAGCCCAAAAAGCTGGAAGTGGCACTGTGGCTCAAGTGGTAGAGAGCTAGCCTTGAACTGAAGAGCTGAGGGACAGCGCCCAGACCCAGAGTTCAAGCCCCATGACCTACAAAAAAGAAAAAAAAAAAAAAAAGAACAAATGTATGTAAGCCTGAGGTCTTACTGAGCACTGGGTTTCACTCAGTCTCCCTAGCACAAGCTGGAGAGGGCTCACGGCCCGCCCCTCCCCCCACAGCCTCTCCCCAGCCCTCATCATGTGGACAATCTGACACTCTGGTTGTGAAACTAGGAGCAACCTGTGCTTACTACATGGGTCCAGCTGTCAATTTACCTGATTCATAGACGGGATCTTGTCCCATTCGTTCTTTGTGGGGTTATACACATCCACCTCGGCAGAATCGTCCCTGAGGAAGGAAGGAGGAGGAGGACATTCTGGTGAGAGTGAGTAATTACCTTGGTATGAGGAGAGTCTACAATCTTGTGGTAACCTGCAGATTTTTTTTTTTTTGTCAGATGTGGGGCTTGGGGCTGGGATAGTGGCTCAGTGGTAGAGCGCTTGCCTTGCATGCATGAGGCCCCGGTTCGATTCCTCAGCACCACATAAGCAAAAAGAAAAAAGTTGGAAGTGGCGCTGTGGCTCAAGTGGTAGAGCGCTCGCCTTGAGCTGAAGAGCTGAGGGACAGCGCCCAGGCCCAGAGTTCAGGCCCCAGGACCGGACCAAAAACAAATAGATGTGGGGCTTGAACTCTGGTCCTGGGCGCTGTCCCTCAGCTCTTCAGCTCAAGGCGAGTGCTCTACCACTTGAGCTACAGCTCCATTTCCAGTTTTCTAGTGGTTTATTGGAGATAGGAGTCTCACAGTCTTTCCTGCCCGGGCTGGCTTCAAACTGCCATCCTCAGATCTCAGCCTTCTGAGTAGTTAGGATTACAGGTATGAGCCATCAGCACCCAGCCTGGAGATTTTTTTGGTCAGTCATGGGGCTTGAACTCTGGGCACTGTTCCTCAGCTTTTCAGCTCAAGGTTAGCACTCTACCACTTTGAGCCATAGCACCACTTCCAGTTTTCTGGTGGTTAATTGGAGATAAAAGAGTTCCTGCCTTGACTGGCTTTGAACCTCGTTCGATCCTCAGATCGCAGCTTCCTGAGTAGTTAGGATTTCAGGCATGAGCCACTGGTGCCTGGCTGAGATTTATTTTTGCTTTTGAAAACAAGGTCTTATTTAGCCCAGGCTGGCCTGGAACTTGTGTGATCCCTCTGCTTCAGCCTCTTTAATCCAAGAAACTACAGCTATGTGCCAACAACCCTGGCTGCATAGAGCTTTTTGATATCATGTGGCAGCTCCCCTGCTATATGGAACCCCTTGGGGCTTAGGGGCAATTTCAGCCTTGAGGGTCACAGCCTTGGGTGCTTATAGCCCCTTGGTGAATCCCACTACCTGGTACAAGGGCATGATTGTTTCTTCTGGTCTGAGAGGTACTGCATGCCTTTCCACCCTGGGTTTTTCCTCCTCTGCATTTCAACTGTAAGCCACTCTATTATGAAAGGCTTTGTGGCTGGCCAGGCCAAGCCTCCCGCCCTCTTGGTCATGGACCACTCCTAGCCACCTCTCTTTAAGTCACTATGTGAGCCCGGTGCCAACTGCTCATGCCTGTAATGCCTGTAATCCTAGCTACTCAGGAAGCTGAGTAGGGTCATGGGTCAAAGCCAGCCTGGGCAGGAAAGTCCAGGACTCTTATCCTCAACCACCAGAAAACCAGACGTAGAACAGCTGAGGCTCGAAGTGGTAGAGTGCTAGCTTTGAGAAAAAGAGCTCAGGTACAGCACCCAAGGCTTGAGTTCAAGTCCCACAACCAACAACAAAAAAAAAGTCACTGTGTATCTTAACCTTGCCCTGTTCACTTCTGGGTCCTCAGAAACCAGCAATGTAAATGTAACAAGAGAAATGAAGAGAGAAGAAAAGCTGCCTATCCTGGTGTTACCAGGGGGACACCTTGCCCACCCCCAGTGTCACAGTGATCAAGATCAGGGCCAGCAAGAGGACCCGACAGCAAATACCTGAGGCTCTGCGGACCACAAGGTGTCCAAACCAGAACTGAGGCACCGTCATGCAAAACCAGTCACAGCTAGCTCCTAAGCAAGAGGACAGGCTGTGTTGCAGATGCATAGGTGCTTGGGTGTCATAATTTGTGATGTATTGCTCTGGTCTCTAATCCCTCCCTGTGAGCCCTTATGGCAGTCATTAAACATGGGGACCTGTAGCCTGTTCACATCACTCATGCCCTTTCTCATCAAGAGCAAGAGCCTCAGCAGGAAGGGGCAGGGTAGCTGCATCCCATCCAGGGGCCACCTTTTCTCAGGACCAAGATGGAACCCAGGGCAACAGTCTCTTATTGATGACAGTTGAGGGGCTGTGGCACTGGCTGCCTCTCCAGGGGACAAGTCCCTAAGAAGAACTGTCCAGACAGGTGTCATTCCAGGCAGGTGACATGGCGCATGAAGAGTCTATGAACAGGATGTGGCTTCAAGGCAGAGTGCTTGCTGAGCATGCATGAAGCCCTGGGTTCCATTCCTCAGCAACACAGATACAGAAAAAGCCAGAAGTGGCGCTGTGGCTAGAGTGTTAGCCTTGAGCTAAAGAAGCTCAGGGACAGTGCCCATGCCGAGTTCAAGCCCCAGGACTGGCAAAAAAAAAAAAAAGACTCCATGAACAGACAGGGTCTTAGGTCTTTCCCGGACTCTGTGCCATTTCCTGTCAGATGATCCCTCCTTCCTTTTCCACAGATTCCTGAGGATTGGGAGGGGCTGAAGCTGCCTCCTCCCATCTCTCTAGGTAACCAAAGCAAACAGCCCGCAGGGAGGTGCCCAGTGCTTCCACCAGAGGCTTAGCAATTATAGGAAGAGGGACAGGAGGTTCCGGGAGCAGAGCAGCCCTTGGACACATTTTGCTCCGGGACCACAGGTCAAGAAGGACGTTCTCAAGGTACTGGGCCTGCAGCCACTGCTGAGGGGCTAAAGTTGTATTTATAGTCACCCCACCTCCTCCTTGAAGACACCTGGGGGAGGGGTGCTGGGGAGAGCCAGCCAGGTGGTTTTATAACTCACCACAGCTGGCTGAGGCTCCAGGCTTTCACTTTCAGCCACTTGTGTGACCCCTCTGATCCTTTCCCTGCCCACCTTGAGGAGGAACTGCCTGTTTTGGGGGGTTTGGAAAGGTCAGTGCTGCTCAGGCAAGCAAGACAGTTTGTGGGGCCCACACCAAAAGGAGGTAGAAGAAGCTGTGACTGACTTTGTGTACTCGTACTGAGGCTTGAACCCAAGATAGGCACTCACTAGCCCTTTGCTTTTTCACTCTACCTCTTGAGCCATAGCTGCACTTCAAGTTTTTGGTGGTTAATTGGAAATGAAGAGTCTCATCACTGACTTTCCTGCTTAGACTGGCTTTGAGTGGCCATCCTCAGATTTCAGCCTCCTGAGTAGCTAGGATTACAGGCCTCTGGCTCTGTGTGTGTGTGTGTGTGTTTGAACTCAAGGCCTGGGCACTGTCCCTGAGCTGTGTGTGTTGTGGAGCTTGAACTCAAGGCCTGGGCACTGTCCCTGAGCTCAAAGTTAGTGCTTGAGCACTCTGAACCACAGCTCCATTTCCAGTTTCTGGTGGTTAATTGAAGAGACTCTCAGATTTTTCTGCCTGGGCTGACTTTGAACCATGATCCTCAGACTTCAGCCTTCTGAATAGCTAAGTTTACAGGCATGAGCCACTGGCACCTGGCATCAGGGTTTTTTTTGCTTGTCCTGGGGCTTGAACTCAGAGCCTGGGCACTGTCCCTGAGCTTCTTTAGCTCAAGGCTAGTACTCTACCACTTGAGCCACAATGCCACTTCCAGCTTTTTCTTTGTATGTAAAGCTGAGGAATGGAATCCAGGGCTTCATGCATGCTCGGCAAGCGCTCTACCACTAAGCCACATTCCCAGCCCACTCCACTCCTTTTTTAATTTTTATTAATGATATTCTGGGGCTTCAGCTCAGGGCCTGGTTGCTCAGAGCTAGCCTTCTACCACTTGATCCACAGTGGAACTTAATGCTCACCCCTTCCTTCCTTGGCCCCATAGTTTCAGCCAGGCATAGGCTGGGGAGGGAAATAGCAGACACAAGAACATGGGCATCAGGCCCTGAGTTCAAGTCCCAGGACTGGCAAAAAAAAAAAAAAGAACATGGGCATGCCGGGCACTGGTGACTCACACCTGTAATCCTAGCTACTCAGGAGGCTGAGATCTGAGGATCACGGTTCAAAGCCAGCCTGGGGGCAGGAAAAGTCCATGAAACTCTTATCTCCAATAAACCACCAGAAAACTGGAAGTGGTGCTGTAGCTCAAGTGGTAGAGTGCTAGCCTTGAGCTGAAGAGCTGAGGAACAGCGCTCAGGCCCAGAGTTCAAGCCCCACGACTGACAACAACAAGAACAGAACATGGGCATTTCCAGAGGAGCTGTGGGCACTCTCCTGCGTGTCCACTCACTCGCCAGTAAGGAGATGCTGTGACCAGACAGGGCTTCAGGCCCAGTGGAGGAGATGCCTGCACCTGCTGGGCCTGAAGAGAGGCCTCTTCTGACAGCCTACCAGTGACTGTGGGGTGGCTTGATGAAGAAAACCTGGAGGGCTGCAGAAGCTGGTCTGAGAAAAGGAGTGGAACAATTCCCTGGAGTCAAGAGATCCAGCTTCTCTGACCCTGTTTCCTACCTGTGAAATGGGAAGACGGAGGCTGGCAGCCTCGACTCAGGGCCTGCTAAGCAAAGCTGCAGATGCAGCACATGGGCACATACGGGCACATGGATACTCACCTGACGAAGTACATAAGTCCGTTCAGAGTCACAGTCTTGGGTGCAAAGGACCAGGGTGGGAGCTGGCCACAGTCCACCAGCGACCACAGGTCAGTGTCTGGGTGGTAGCACTGCATCACCATGGTCTCCTTGCCGGCCAGTGAGCCGATGGCATAGAGCCGGCCGCGGCAGGCGGTGGTGGAGCAGTTGTCCATGGGGTAGGTCATGGGCTGCAGAGCCTCCCAGGCGTCAGCGGTATGGTCGTAGCGCTCTGTGCTATCGGCAGCCACCACGTATAGCAGCCCGTCCAGCACGGAGGAGCTGTGGTATTCCCGGGCCTTCAGCATGGGCGCGACCTCTGTCCACTCGTTCACACTGGAGTTGTACCTCCACACGCAGTCATAGAGCCGGGAGCCATCGGACCCACCTGCCAGGACAAACAGCAGGCAGATGGGTCAGCCTGCTGGGGTGAGTCACCCAGCTGCGCCTCCCTGAACATCTGTGAGGGCCTCTGGCTGGAGAGGAACTGTCCTCAGCAGGTGTCACCCAACACCTGCCCTAGTTCCCAAGGCCCAGGCCAGAAAACCCATCTTGAGACTGAGGCAATGTGTATGTCAACCACTGCTGGGGCAGGACCACCACCAACTCTGCTGCTATCAAACCAAGGCCCTGGGGCACAAGTCTGAACTAACACAGTCTCAGGAACCCCGAATACTGTCAAACACCTGGACAGTACCACAGCATTCCATCTCGGGGTCAGTTCTCCTGGGCAGTGGTGAAGAACTGGACTTGTCTATCAAATTCTAAGCTTCTTGTGTACTTGCTACCAAGACTATACCAGGACAAGATGAGAGGAATCCAGGCTGTGAGGTACTTAGCAGGAGTTGTTTTAAGGAGGCAGGGGGAAGATAGAGTAAAGGGGTGAAGTTGATCAGGTAGCATACAAGCAGAGAGGCCTAACAGAAAAATCACGTTACCAGGCACCTCTTTGGTTCTAGTTTTGATTCTGGCAGGTTCAAGGGGTATGTTTCTTTTTTCTTTTCATTTTTTGTGTGCTGGTACTAGGCTTGAAATCAAGGTATCTTGCTTTTAGCTTTTTTGCTCAAGGCTAGCAGTCTGTCACTTGAGGCATACCTCCACTTCTGGCTTCTTGCTGATTACTTGGAGAAAAAAAGTTTCTGGGATTTTCTGCTGGCTTGAAACTTTGATCCTCAGATCTTGGCTTCGGGATTACAGCAATGAGCCATGAGGTTTCATTCAAAAAACACTAAGCTGTTCTTATGCTGTACTCTTCCACATTTTGGGGGGAGTTCTGGGATATGAACTCAGAGACTTTGCTCTACTGCTTGAGCCCGCTCCACTCCCCAACCATTGCTTTAGTTTATTTTTTAGGTAGGGTCTCAAGGTTTTTTTTGTTGTTGTTGGTCGTGGGGCTTGAACTCTGGGCCTGGGCGCTGTCCCTCAGCTCTTCAGCTCAAGGCCAGCGCTCTACCACTTGAGCTACACCACCACTTCCGGTTTTCTGGTGGTTTATTGGAGATAGGAGTCTCACGGTCTCTCCTGCCCGGGCTGGCTTTGAACCGCGATTCTCAGATCTCAGCCTCCTGAGTAGCTAGGATTACAGGCGTGAGCCACCAGCGCCCGGCAGGTCTCAAGGTTTTGACCAGGAAAAGCCTAAGATTAAAACCCTGCTGGGGATCACAATATCCTTCTATCTCTTGTTCCCACAAAACTGAGATTAAAGGCCAGTGCCACAAACCTGCCTGAACTCTCAGTGCCAATAAAAGGGAAGGAAAAACAATGCTGTTTTCATCATAAATAAAATTAAACCAGATCCACTAAGGACAGGAGACCGACCTCGGCCTCCAACATGAAAGAACTCCGGGAATCCTGGCGGCCTTCCCCCTGGTGTCTTTCCCTGGCACCATGGGGCTGAGCAGACATTCTGTCTGTTTCACAGCCCTGAGCTGAGCTTTGGGAGGAGAAGACAAAGAGCTTACAGAACAGATCTGGTCCCATTCCTTCCCTGGGGAGCGGCTGCAGAGGCGGCTCAATGGGGCTTCCTGGGCCCCAGGAAATTCCCTACCCGCAGCTGAATGGAATGACATGGCCACCTGCCTAAAACTCAAAGGATTAGCTGCTCAGCTGTGACATTTGTGACAGGGCGCTGGGAAGGCCAGGCAGGACTGGCCAGTTCTGGGAGGGAGTTCTCAGCTCAGAACCACCAGCCAGGCCTCAGAAGAGAGGGAGCCTCAGAAGAGAGGGAGCGGGAGAGAGGGATGGAAGCTGAGGGCTGAAAGGAGGGCTGCAGGTGGGGGGTGGTGGAGGCTGTCCTTGGCAGGCAGGGGGGGCCCTCTTCATCAGCTGGCTGGGGAACTGACCCAGGGGGCTTTCTGTGACCCAGGCCCAGCTGGCTGTAGTGCCTTTTTGTCTGACGGGGCCGGCGCCAGCCCCAGTCGGTTCTTCCCTTATATAGCAGTCAGAGCACGCCCCTGCCGGCCCCACCCGGGCTGCAGCCTCCCTCGGGCAGGAACAGGGTTCCATCCACGGTGAAAACTGTGGGAGAAGCCCGGCTCCGGGGCAGGCCGGCCCGCCCACCATGACTCGGCAGGGTTTTGGGGTTTGGGCCAAGTAACTGGAAGAAAATCTCTTTAACATGTGACCATGTTTACAGTCGCGGCCTCAGCCTAACCACCACGTGACCCACGGCGCCCAGCCCGGCCCAGGTGCCACCCTCAAGGAACCTTGTCACACCGGTGACACTCAGCCCACTGAGTCAGCCCCGCGATCCCCTGGCTCGGCGGGGCGGGGCGGGGCGGGGGGGGGGGGGGAGGCCGCCTCACCCGGCGTCGGTCGGCCTCTGACTTGCCCCCGCGTGGCTCGGGGAGAGAAAGAAAGCTCCCATTGTGCGTGCGGGTGACCGCCCCGACCGCGAGGCTCCGCAGGGGCCGGGCGCTGGCGCGGGCGCGCGGACCCACAAGCAGCCACTTGTCCCCGCGCGCACAAGGGGCCCTTCTTGTGGGCGGAAAGTGACCGCAGGCGGGAGAGAGCTCGGGAGGGTGACCCTGTCCACAAAACAGAAAAGGGCGCTGGTCACCTGACACGGGACGGCGCCGCCGCCGCACGCCGCCTTTAGAGCAGGAAACCTTGATTTTCTCCAAAAAGAAAAAAAAAAAAAACACAGTAACCGCAGGAACCCGGCGCGGCCCTCGGATTCCGTGGGTGTCGCCTGCGGAGCCCGAGTGAGCGCCCGGGAGAGCCGGGGACCCCGCCGCACCCACCTGTCACGTAGATGTCGTTGCCCAGCGCCACGATGCTGTAGCCCCCGCCCAGGTGTTCGGGGAACTCGGCCAGGTAGCGCCACTGGCCCGTCTGCGGGTTGTAGCAGTCGACGGTGACCAGCTCGTCGCAGTTCTGGTCGCAGCCGCCGACCAGGACGAGGATCTCGGCGAGGCCGGTGGAGGGGCGCGGGCGCATGCGGGGGCAGGGCCCGCGGTCGTGGCGGTCGAAGCGCGCGGCCTGGAAGTCGCGGGCCTCGCGCAGCAGGCGCAGGCAGGGCGGGCAGCGCGCCACCAGCGGCTCGGCCTCGACGTGCGCCAGCAGGTAGAAGCGGCGCACGAAGGGCAGGCGCACGGCCTCCAGCAGCTGCGGCCAGTGCGCGGCGCGGCGCGGCGGGTCGGCGCGCACCCAGCGCAGCGCCAGCTGGTAGGCCGCCTCCTCCTTGGGCACGCACAGCCCGTCGTCGCGCAGGTAGCGCAGCAGGCGCGCCAGCGGCAGCCGCTCCAGCTGCTCGGCGCCCAGCTCGCCCACGTGGCGCAGGATGAAGCGCTGCGCGGCGCTGGCCAGCCCCGCGCAGCTGAAGGCCTCGGCGAAGTCCTGCATGTCCAGGCAGTTGGCCAGGTCGAGCTGCTGCTGCAGGAAGGCGCCGCACGCCTCCTTCACGGCCGGGAACTGCAGCAGGTCGGCGGCGCGCAGCAGCGGCTCGGCGTTGTCGCCGCTCACCGCCACGCGGCCGGTGTAGCTGAAGTCCAGCAGCAGCTGCAGCATGTCGGGCGGCACGCCGTGCAGGCGCACCCGCTCCGCGCGGCTCTCGCGCAGCTGCCCGGCGAACATGGCGCGGAAGTAGGGGCTGGCGGCCGCCAGTACGGCGCGGTGGGCCGGGAAGTCGCGCCCGCCCGCCGCCTCCAGGGTCACGTCCAGGAACTTGCGCTCGGCGCGGAGCTGGCTCAGGCCGCGCAGCAGGCTCAGGGCGTGCGCGGGGTCCGAAAACGGAAGCACGGCCAGGGGCGCCGGCCGCTCCATGGCGCTGCCGGGGGAGACGCGGCGGCGCGCCGGGCTCCGCCGCTATAAATACGGCCTGGCGCCGCGGCCCGGGGGGCGGGGCCGGGGCGGCGACGCCCACTTAACCCCTGCGGGCCCGGCCGGCCGCCTGGCGGAGCTCCGCGCGCCCGCCCCCCCTGGGCCTCCCGACTGAGTCACTGCCGCCCGCGCCCGCTCCCTCCCCGCCCTTCTGGGGCTTCCTGCCGCTTCCGTCGTGACGCCGAGCCGGGCACGGCGGGTGACGAGCCGTGGGTCCCGCGCGCCGGGATCCGGGGCCTCCGGGATCTGCCCCGCCACCCACCCCGCCCGGCTGCGGAGCCGAATCCGGTGCCAGCCTCTCGCGCCGGTCGCCCGCCCCCACCCCGGGCGCCCCCCGCGAGCCCCGGGCGTCCCGGGGCCCTGGCTTTTCCATGGAGTTTCACTACGTCCCCAGGGGGGTTGCCTAACCCCGTCGAGGGCAGGTTTAGGCCGAGCGGCGGGGCGGGGCCGAGTCCCGAGCGTCCCGCAGACGTTTTTCCGGGGCGCGTGTGTGGGTAGACGGGTCCGGGTGTGGGGCGCGCTCCGCGGCCCGCCCCACAGCACGCGGGAGCTTTCTGAGTCACCGGCCGCCCGGGCCGGGCTCCTCGGGCTGCAAAGACGGGTCAAGGTCAGCGGGGGGCCGGGCCGCCGAGGCCCCGCCGTCCGGGCGGCGAGGGGCGTCTCCGTGTTTTAGTTCCCTTGGTCGCTTTGAAAAACTACGGGGAGGTCGCTCTCCGGAGAAACCCGACTGCACTCCAAGAAAACCTGGGGGGTTTCCGCCTGCCCCCCCCCCGCCGCGGGGCCGCGCTCCCGCGGAGGGCGCCCACCCACGGTGGCCGGGCCCCGGAGCCGCCCAGCGCTGCTGGTGGGGCGCAGGCTCGGCTCGGGAGGAGACATCTTGTCTCCTTCCGTTCAGATGACCCGCGGCCTCCCTCCGCTATCCCGGTCTTGAGAATGCCCCGGTCCACACCTCCGGGGCAGCCCGGGAGGGAGGCCCGGCGGCTCGGTGGCCGGCCCGCGGGGACCGGCGGCTGCCCATGCCCATAGAAGGCCTGCGCGCTGCCGGGCCGGCGCCGGGCGTTCCCGAGCGGGCCGGCCCCCGCCAGCGCGCTCCACCGCGGACGGCGCGGTGTGCGGGAGGGGAGGTGGGGGAGAGCGGCCCGTTTCCCTTGCGCCAGCCTTGCCACCTTGCCGCAGTCCAGAGCACGTCGGTAATGCTCCCTTTCTTTTTAAAATCCTAAAATTAAATCCACCGGGCGCTGGTGCTTTACACCAGTCATCTGAGTGACTCAGGCTGAGATCTGAGGAGGGAGGTTCAAAGTCAGAAACTCATCGCCAATTAAGCACCACAGGTAGAGCTGTGGCTCCAGTAAAAGAGCCCTGGCTCTGGGTTCAAGCCCCAAGATCAGCAAAAAATATACATCTAAAATTGATCTTTAATTATAACTTGGATTTGCTTTGAAGATAGGTGGCATTGCACAAATTATATTACTCTATAATTTCTGTGTGTGTGTGCTGGGGCAGAACTCAGAGCCTCAGGCTCTTGCCCTCACGGATGGCCTTCACCCCTCTACCTTCACTTCCATCTTTTTGTTGGTTAATTGGAGATAAGTGTGTGGAGTGGGGAGAGGGGTGGTCTCACAGGACTTTTCTCCTCTGGGCTAGCTTCAAACCATGACCTTTAGAACTCAGTCTCCTGAGTAGTTAGGATTATAGGTGTGAGCTACCAATGTCCTGAAATTTTTGTTTTTACAAAAAAAGTATTGTTCATTTTAACTGGTCACGTTAATGCAGGTCATACGTGGCTGGAACTGAAAAATCAGCTAGAGATGTTGTATGTTACATTAATGGAAAAATTAGTTTTGTACTGTAAAAATAAATTCTTAAGCAACTGACCTACAGTAATAAAAATATGGCATATTTACTTTCACAAATTTGTCATTAAAATGTAACTATAAAATGGGAGAGCTGAGTATGTGTTTTCTTTTTTTTTTGGGTCCGGTCGTGGGGCCTGAACTCTGGGCCTGGGTGCTATCCCTCAGCTCTTCAGCTCAAGGCTAGTGCTCTACCACTTGAGCCACAGCGCCACTTCTGGCTTTTTTTTCTGCTTATGTGGTGCTGAGGAATTGAACTCAGGGTCTCAGGCATGCAAGGCAAGCACTCTACCACTGAGCCACCTTCCCAGCCCTGTGTTTTCTTTTTCTAACATCAGAGCTTTTATTGAATGTTTATCAACTTATGTAGCCTTGGAGAATAATGCTGTAAATACTTACTGAAATGGAAAGATACTCAGTGAATATCCAGATTGCTCAGTGTGACCCAATTTGTTAAATGTGTTCATTTGCCTAGAAAAGAATTGTGGGCTTATTTTCCCAGGGTACTTAGGTTTGTATCTACTGCTTTTGCCTGCATTTTCTTTCTTGTTTGTATGTATGTGTACATGTGCAAATGTGTGTGTGCATGTGCATGTGTGTGCGCATGCACACCAAGTGGGTCCTGGGGCTTGAATTCAGGGCCTGCACACTGTACCTGAGCTTTATTTGCTCAAGGTTATTGCTCTATCACTTCAGCCACAACTCCATTTTAAAGTAGTTTATTGGAGAGAAGAGTCTCGTGGACTTTGCTGCCCAGGCTGGCTTTGAACAGTGATCCTCAGATCTCAGCCCCGAGTTTTTTTTATCATAATACATATATAAGCCAGGTGTCGGTGGCTCAGGCCTGTAATCCTAGCTATTCAGGAGGCTGAGATCTGAGTTCGGGAAGGAAAGCCTGTGACTCATCTCCAATAAACCACCAAAAAACTGGAAGTGGCGCTGTGGCCCAAGTGGAAGAGCTGAGGGATAGCACCCAGGCCCAGAGTTCAAACCCCATGACCCCCCCCATATATATATATATATATATTTTTTTTTTTTTTTCCAGTCATAGGGTTTCTTCCTGAGCTCTTTTGTTCAAAGATAGAACTCTGTGGGCTGGGACTGTGGGTTAGTGGTAGAGTGCTTGCCTAGCATGCATGTGGCCATGGGTTGGATTCCTCACTACCACATACACAGAAAAAGTGGAAGTGGTGCTGTGGCTCAAGTGATGAGTGCTAGCCTAGGGGCTGGGAAGGTGGCTCAGTGGCAGAGCACTTGCCTTGCATGCTCGAGGCCCTGGGTTCGATTCCTCAGCACCACATAAGAAAAAAGCCGGAAGTGGCGCTGTGGCTCAAGTGGTAGAGTGCTAGCTTTGAGCTGAAGCGCTGAGGGACAGCGCCCAGGCCCAGAGTTCAGGCCCCACGACCGGACCCACAAAAAAAAAAAAAAAAAAAAGTGCTAGCCTAGAGCAAAAGAAGCTCAGGGACAGTGCCCAGACCCTGAGGTCTAACCCTAGGACTGGCCAAAAAACAAAAAAACAAAAGATAACACTTTACCACTTTGAGCAATAGCTCCACTTCTGGTTTTCTATTGGTTAATCGTAGATAAGAGTCTGGTCCCATGCCAGTGGCTCATGCCTGTAATCCTAGCTACTCAAGAGGCTGAGATCAGAGGACTGCAAAGCCAGCCCAGGCAGGAAAGTCCGGGAAACTCTTATCTCCAATAAACCAGAAAACCAGAAGTGGCACTGTAGCTCAAGTGGTAGAGCGCTAGCCTTGAGCTGAAGAGCTGAGGGACAGCTCTCAGGCCCAGAGTTCAAGCCCCATGACCAACAACAACAACAACAACAAAAAGAGTCTCATAGATTTTCCTGCCCAGGCTGTCTTTGAACTGCAATCCTCAGATCTCAGCCTCTTGAGTAGCTAGGATTACAGGCAGCATGAGCCACCAGCACTCAGCTTTATAAACACACACTGTATATAACATACATATACATGCATATATAAGGTATGGGCACACACAATATATATATACATATTTTATATATATATATATATATATATATCTTTTTTTTTCTGAGATGGGGATTTGAATTCCATATCTCACTTTCACTCACTGGCTGGTGTTCTTGTCATCTAAGCCATGCCTCCAACATTTTATTACATTTTTTTGTCAGTTGTGGGGCTTGAACTCTGGGCCTGGGCACTGTCCCCCAGCTCTTCAGCTCAAGACTAGCACGCTACAACTCAAGCCACAGCGCCACTTCCTTTATTAGAGATAAGAGTCTCCTGGAGTTTCCAGCCTGGGCTGGCTTTGAACTGTCATCCTCAGATCTCAGCCTCCTGAGTAGCTAGGATTACAGGTGTGAGCCACCGGTGCCTAACTTACTACATTTTTGAACATTAACAATGTAGAATGCTTACTCTGTGATTTTGAACAAAAACATAATATACTTAAGCCAGGCACCAGTGGCTCATGCCAAAAATCCTATCTACTCAGGAGAATGAGATCTGAGGATTGTGGTTCAAAGCTGGCTGGGCAGGAAAGTACTTGAGACTTGTTTGTTGTTGTTGGTTGCGGTGCCTGAACTCTGTCCCTCAGCTCTTCAGCTCAAGACTAGTGCTCTACCATTTGGGCCATAGCACTACTTCTGGCTTTTTCTGTTTAAGTGGTGCTGAGGAATCATGCATGCAAGTCAAGCACTCTTCCACTGAGCCAACTTCCCAGCCCCTTGAGACTTTTATCTACAATTGACCACCAGAATACCAGAAGTGGACCTGTGGCTCCAAGTTAACCTTGAGCAAAAGAGCTCAGGGTCAGTACCTGGCCAAGCCCACCGCAACCAGCCAAAGGGAAACACACACACACACACACACACACACACACACACACACACACACACACACACGGTACACTTAAGTCCTGTGGATTTCACTATGAAAAGTTTGCCCAAGAAGGAGGGTGTACCTGGGCCCTATGGCTCATCCCATCAAATAGAGGCTACAAATTTGATCACTGGAGAGGCTGAGAGGCTGAAATCTGAGGATCAAATCCTCCAGACTCAGCTGGGCCTCAGTGGCTCATTCCTCACAGTACTCAGGAGTCTGAGTTCTGAGAATTCTAGTTCTAAGCCAGCCCCAGCAGGAAAGTCCAAGTCTGTGAGACTCTCTTCAATTAACCAGCAAGAAGCTGGAAGTGGAAGCATGGCTCAAGAGGGAGAACACCAGTCTTTTCATTTTTGTCAGTCCCAGGGCTTGAACTCTGGACCTCAGCATTGTCCCTCAGCTCTTCAGCTCAAGGCAAGCGTACTACTTGAGCCACAGCATCACTTCTGGTTGTTATTTGGAGATAAGAGTCTCATGAAGCTAGGCGCCGGTGGCTCATGCCTGTAATCCTAGCTACTCAAGAGGCTGAGATCTGAGGATTGCGGTTCAAAGCCAGCCCGGCCAAGAAAGTCCGTGAGACTCTTTTATCTCCAATAAATCATTAGAAAACCAGAAGTGGTGCTGTGGCTCAAGTGGTAGAGTGCCTGCCTTGTGCTGAAGAGTGCAGGGACAGCGCCCAAGCCCAGAGTTCAAGCACCATGACCGACCAAAAAAAAAAAAAAAAGGGCTGGGAAAGTGGCTCAGTGGTAGAGAGCTTGCTTTGCATGCATGAGGCCCTGGGTTCGATTCCTCAGCACCACATAAGCAAAAAGAAAAAAGCCAGAAGTGGCCCTGTGGCTCAAGTGGTAGAGCACTAGCCTGGAGCTGAGGAGCTGAGGGACAGCGCCCAGGCCCAGAGTTCAGGCCCCACGACCAGACCCCTCCCCCCCCCCAAAAAAAAACCATACACACACACACACACACACACACACGTTCCAAATGAAATTCAGATGTAGCTCAATAGTGAGAGTGCTTGCTTAGCATGGCTCTATGTTCAATAAAGAAAAAATAAAGCTTGTTATTGATATTAGGACCTAACAGGCAAGATCTGAAACCCCATGTATAGGGTCAGTCAGGAAAGGAATGTGGCAAGAATAGAAAGGTCCAGATTTAGACCTATCAGCTGTGTTTGGAATTCTGATTAAGCAACCAACCCAGCACATTGTCTAGCTCTTCTAAGTTAAAAACTGGGATATGAAAACTATTCACTACATGGGCTGGGAATGTGGGTTGGTGGTAGAGTGCTTGCCTAGCATGCATGAAGCCCAGGGTTGGATTCCTAAGTACCACATACACAAAAAAGCTGGAAGTGTTGCTGTGGCTCAATTGGAAGAGTGCTAGCCTCGAGTAAAAGATCAGGGACAGTGCCCAGATCCAGAGTTCAAGCCCTAGGATTTACTAAACCAAACGGAACCAAACCATTATTCTCTACAGTGTGAAATCACTGTTGTGGTGAAACTATACTAGAATTATAAGCACTCCAGATTGTGTGTGTGTATATGGGACTTGAACTCAGGTCTTTGTGCTCTCCCTTAGCTTTTTCTGTCAAGGCAAGCACTCTACCACTTGAGCCCACACCTCCGCTTCCAGCTTTTTGCTGGTTAATTGGAGATCACATACTTTTTTTTTTTTTTGCTGGGGCTGGCTTCAAACCTCCATCCTCAGATCTCAGACCCTTGAATAGCTAGGATTACAGGCATGTGACACTGGAGCCTGGCTTGACATATGCATAATCTTTTAAAGAAGTTTTTCAGTGTTCTCAATCAGTTAACTGCATTTATATGTGTTGCAAGGTGATGTAGGTAAAAGCATTGTCTCCGATGGCTATTACCTTTATATTCTGTTAGTAAGGATGTTAGTGTCTTCTGTACTTGGCAGTTTATGTATATTCTCCTGAATGTAAATAGTTGACATTACAGTCTATAAATTATGAATGTCATTGTTGGCACACAGGTATTCTACAAGTTGGGAACAGTGAGATATTGAGAATTTCACTCACACATGCCCTCCTCCTCCCCATCTACAAACGGGATAGAGGAGAGCAGAAGTAATTCACAAGAATACATCAATTTTAGCTAGTAAGAAGATGAAAGATCAGAAAGTTATTCTGGGAAAAATAAACCTTTTGTAAAATTCATATTCAAGAGCCAGCTTTAATAGGGAAGCAGAAAGCTTCCTTCTTGAGCATTCCCCCAAGTGAAGGTGGTGGAGTTAGTATAGGAAAGTGAAGCTATATTTGGTAACTCAGTTAAAATAACTACATTCTCAAGTTACTTACTAGGAAACCATGGTATTCTGAGTATTTTTAACTTGTCACAACCTGTGCTCATGCTGGCTTCTAACCCGCCTTTCCTAAGCAATTACAATCATCTGAGAATTTGCACTCAAGCAGCAGGTATAATTTATTTTTTTTTTTAAAAGCAGAAAAGAATCATAGAGGGGCTGGGAAGGTGGCTCAGTGGCTGAGCGCTTGCCTTGCATGCTTGAGGCTCTGGGTTCGATTTCTCAGCACCACATAAGCAAAAAGAAAAAAGCTGGAAGTGGCGCTGTGGCTCAAATGGTAGAGCGCTAGCCTTGAGCTGAAGAGCTGAGGGACAGCGCCGAGGCCCAGAGTTCAGGCCCCATGACCAGACACCCCCCCCCAAAAAAAAAAAAAAAAAAAGAATCATAGACTCCAAGGACCTAGGTATAGTGGTTGATGGTAATGCTTTTAAACCACTCAAGGGATTCTACATTTGCCCTATCCTTAAGCCCACCTTGGCAATAAATTTATTTACAACTTCTCTGTCACTCAAAGAAAATCAGCTGTGCCTGGTCAGTCATTACTGAGTTTGGGTCAGTTATAGTGTTATGGTCCTCTTTTGCTGGAGATAGGTAATAGACAATTAATATTCAAAATTATCCCAAAGGGCTAAATTTCTTTTTTTTTTCTGGTAGGGTTGGTACTGTGTTTGCTAGGCGGGTGCTCTGCCATCTGACTGACGGCTCCAGCCTGAAGGACTAAATTTCTAAGAGAGATTGAGAGGCAAAAGGAAGAAAGAAAATGAAAAGCTCCCTTTCCACCAATGGAGCTCCTGGGTGAGACACAGCAACCAACACAATACCAGTGGGACGTGTGTGTGTGTGTGTATTATGAATTGTTCACTGATATACATGAAATATTGAATATCTGAAGGAATGAACACTTAGGTCTGCGATTGTCCTTTACAGAGATGAGTGGTTCTATATTGGCCCCTGAAGTCTCTATACTGTTTTGCCAACAAGAGAAATTACTCTCAGCAAGTGCTTTAACTCTGAGTTTTATTTTTGCTGGCACTGGGGCTTGAACTCAGGGCCTGGCTGGCCTGACCATGGTTGGCACCCTACTGCTTGATCACATCTTCAGTCAGGCATTTGGTTGGTTAATTGCAGACTGAGTCACTGACTTTTTTGTGTGTTGGCGAGGAGCCCTGATCTGCCAGGTCTCAGCCTCAGGATTACAGGCTCGTGCTACTGGCATCTGATTTGTACATCTGGGGACCAAACCTAGGGCCTCCTGAATTCTAATTCTGCACTACCACTGCTTTACACCCTCAGGCTCGATCTGAACGTGTGAGAAAGAGTTAAAGTTTGCTAAGCGAACGAGTTACCTTAGGGAAGACCAAGTGTTTAAAAAAAATCCCATCTGTGTAAAGTTAGGAGAGTTTCGGTTTGTACCCTTAAACGGTCAAAAGGATCCTCTACGCCTACGTTCTTCCCTATTGTTTTTGGGTTTTAGAGACAGGCTCCACCTTTGCATCCCCGGCTGGCCGCCAGGCCGAGGCCAGGGCCGGGGTCGGCCCCTCCTCTTGCCCTCCTAGGGTCACCACGCCCCGGTGAAGCCCTTTTGTATTCAGGAGAGTGGCTGCTGGGCTAACACTGGCTAACTCGGGGACTTTTCGCTCGGGCCACAGCAGTCAGATACCATTCCCAATCTGAGGCTCCAAAACAATCCTGGAAGCAGCTGGTAATGAAGTCCCACGGGCGACCCCCGCTTTATCGCCTGTGACCGGTGAATGATCTGGTAAAGCACCTCGGTGTGTCGCCTCCGGAGGGTCCGTCGGGCTTCCGCGGGGCACAAATCACGGCAGAGCCACGGCAAACGCCGGTGTGCGGGCCGGGCCTCGTGCTCTGGGTTTGAGGGCGCGGGGCGCCGCGGCGCTGAGCCAGGCTCCCCGCAGGGCACAGCCCAGGTGCCCGGGGCAGCGCGCGGGCCGCCGGCGCCGTCCCGGCCGCGCCGGGCCTCCGGACGCCCATGGCCCACTTCCGCCCCGCCCCCTGCCGCCAAACCGCCGGCCTCCGAAGCCGCCAACCGCTGCCCAGGCGCCGCTCCGCGCTCGGCGTGGCCCCCTTCAAACGACCGCAAAGGCTCGACAGCACCGGGCGCCGCGTCCGCCCGCCCGGCCCAGCGGCTCCGCGACTCCGGCGGGGAGGGAAGCGGGGGGGGGGGGGGGGGGGGCGGGCGGACCCCGCCACCGGGAAAACAAGCGCGCTCCGCCCTCCGGGACGTCAGCGCCCGGCCCCATTCCCGCCAGGGCTGCGGGGACACCCACCGCTCCCGCCCCCCGGCCCCCACAAAGGGCGACCCTCCATCCCCACCGGAGGAGGCGGGGCGGCCCCGCCCCCCGCAGGCCCGGGAAGCTGCCCCCACCCCGCACGGTCACCCCCGCCCCCGCCCAGCCTGCGCGGAGGCCGAGGCGCAGCCGCTCGTGCCGCCCCTCCCCCACCGGCCGAGCGGCGCGAGCCCCCGCACTTCCCCTGCTCGGGGCCGCCAGTCCTGAGGTACCGCCCCCGCAGCCGGCGCTCGCCGCGGAGCCCCATGGGACTTGGAGTTCGGAGACGCCCTCCGCACACGCCATGGCAGCGCGCCAAGAACTGCAACTCCCACAATGCGCGGCGCCGCGCGCGCCCCGCCCCCTCTGGCGGAGCCAGAACTACATTTCCCGACAGGCCTCACGGCGCTCCCGCCCTCCCTCCCGAGACACGAGCCGAACTGGGCGTCAGGTCGGGGAGCCGGTCGGGTTCCCGCTCGCCGCCGCCGCCGCCCCCCGCAGCGCCTCTCCCGCCTCTCCGCCGCGGGAGCTGCATCGCCCACTCTGCTCGCTGTGAAGCCGCCAGTCCCGGAGCACCGAGCCTGGGACGCGACACGCCGAGCCTCTGGTCACCTCCAGCCGGGGCGACCCTTCCCGGGTCCACCCTCGCCGTCGCGGCCGCCGGAGCCCCCGTTCCCGAGCGCCCGGCGCCTCTGCGCCCTCAGCCCGGCTCCTGCACTCCCGCAGCCGCCGCCCCCCGCCCGGAACATGGACTCCGACTCCTGCGCCGCCGCCTTCCACCCTGAGGTGAGTGCGAGCTGCGCCCGATCGCCCTGCCCCGGCCGCCGCTGGCCGGCCCTCCGCCCCCCGGAGCGGGGTCGCGGGGAGCCCGACCCCGGGAGGCCGCCCGGCCCGCCCTCCCCTCCCCCCCCCGCCTTCCCTCCGCGCCCGGGCGCCGGCGGCCCCCCGTGCCGGGCCCGCGGGCCCCGCGCCCACCCCTCGCCCCGGGGACGCCGCTCCCCGGCTTCGCGTAGCCCCGGGGCCGGCGGCGCCCCCCGCCCCTCACGCCGGCCTTCGCCTCCCCGAGCCCCGGGATGCGGCCCGGCGCCGCTCCTCTTGGAGGACCCCGTCCCCCTTTCCTGCCCCGTCTCGCCCTCCCCCCCCTCCCCCGGGCCGCCGCGGGCCCCTCAGAACGGCTCGGCGCCGCGCGGCCCCGCCGCCCCATCCCCCGGGCCGCGCCCCGCCCCCTGGCGCCGCGCGCGGCCGCCGCCCCCGCCCCGCCGGTGTGGGGGTCCGCGGTTTCGGGGTCCCCACCCCCGCGAGCTTGCCCGCCCCCGCCTGGCTCCGCCCTCGCTCCCTCCTTCCGGGGACCGGGCCTCGGTCCTCCGCGCCGCCCCCCGCGCGGCCCCCTCATTGGCGGGGCTCCGGGTGCGGGCCGGCGACGCGGGCGGGTGCGCGGGAGGACGGGGGCAGATGGGGCGCGGCGCCCGCCGCCCTCGCCGCGGCTCGCTGCGGTTCGCCGGGTCTCCCCGGCGTCGCGGTGCCTGAACCTCGCCGGCGTCCCGCGCCCGCACCCCGCGGCGGGGCCCCGCACCTTCCGGGCCTGGCGTGGGGCGCCGCGCGCCCTCCGCCTCCCCGAGGGAGGGCGGGTTCCTGGCCCGCCCGTCTCCGCCCGCGCCGCCTCGCCGCGGGTGCGGGGCCTCCGCCCCTCGTCCTCGGGCCCCGCCAAGTTAAAGTTGTCCCCGAGTTTGGGGCGGCGGGAGCGCGGGGCGGGGGCGAGCGCGGTGCCGGGCGCGCGGCGAGCATTTCCGAAGTGCAGCTTTGCGGGGCGTGTTGCGGGCTCTTCCCCGCCCCGCCACGGGAGGGGCCTGGGGAGCTCCTGGGCCTGGCCCGCAGCCTGGGGCTCGGCCCAAACGCCCGGGGAGGCCCGGAGGGCAGCGGGGGTGGGGCGGACCGAGCACCCGGGTCGAGGGCCGCACAGTCTCGCCCTCGGGACAAAATCGGGGTGGGTGCTCCCGCGTCCGATGGCGTTGGAACTCGGGAGCAGAACCCTAAGTGTGCGCCCAAACAGCGGGAACGTTCCCCGCCGCCTCCCGAGAGGCCGGAAGCCGGCTTGCCCCGCATCCCCACCGGACCCTGCGGGGGGGGGGGGGAGTGTCCCCTGGGCAGTGGGGCCGCGCCCTCCCCCGCCCTGGCTGCGTGGTGGTCGAGGAGGCCGGAGGATAAGCGATTCCGGGTTTGGAATCACTTCTTGCGCTTTCAGTACAGCTGCAGCGGGAGTTTCTTTTCAAAATGGAAAATCTGTAACAATAACGTGGTTAATAGAACTCCCGATAGGCCTGCAGGGACCAATAGATAGGGTAAAAAAATGCTGTTTGGGCACCTGGAGCTGGACTTTCTGTACAGGTTTTTATCTTCTAGCTGGTTTCCAGTGTTCTTGGCACAACAATCTGAATACTCCTCGTTTACCCTTCTGAAGAGTTTTTTCTTGACCTGAACTTTGCTTATCTTGTTTTCTAGACTGTAAGTCCAGCAGCATTCTGGGTGATCAGTAGGAGTTTCAGCTTGCTTCCTTGTTTGTGGGATTTCACTTTGGAACCTCTCCTTCACCCCAATCCCTTGTCTCCCCTTTAACAGGAGTACTCTCCCGGTTACAAGAGGCGGAGGACTGTGGAGGATTTCAACAAATTCTGCACCTTCGTCTTGGCTTATGCTGGCTATATCCCATATCCGAAGGAGGTACCGTGCGGGTGTGAGACCCGAGTCTCTTGATTAAGTGCCCTCCCTGGGACCAGTAGGGTCTGGGAGGGTTTGTTTACTGGCTATGACCTCAGGCAGTAGTCTGGCTAGAGTCAGTTTCTTGTGAACTTAGCTCAGAGTGGGGAGTGGTTCTTAAAGCTTTGATAGACCGTGCAGGCTTGGTCTGGAGGCATAGCTCAAGTGATGCAGTACCTGTCTAGCAAGTGGAAGGCCCTGAATTTCCCCCCTACCCCATGGTCCTCCCTAAACGCCAAAAACAAAACAACAAAAATCTCTTTAAGAAAAATAAAAACGGGCTGGGAAGGTGGCTCAGTGGTAGAGCGCTTGCCTTGCATGCCTGAGGCCCTGGGTTCGATTCCTCAGCACCACATAAGCAAAATGAAAAAAAGCCGGAAGTGGCGCTGTGGCTCGAGTGGTAGAGCGCTAGCCTTGAGCTGAAGAGCTGAGGGACAGCGCCCAGGCCCAGAGTTCAGGCCCCACGACCGGACCCAAAAAAAAAAAAAAGAAAAATAAAAACAGACCGTGCAGGCTTGTCTACTAATGACCAAATTCAAAATTAGTGGAGAATGTTTGTTACTGCTTGCCCTTTAAGAGTGGCCAGTGCACCGGGCGCTGGTGGCTCACGCCTGTAATCCTAGCTACTCAGGAGGCTGAGATCTGAGGATCGCGGTTCAAAACCAGCCCGGGCAGGAGAGACCGTGAGACTCCTATCTCCAATAAACCACCAGAAAACCGGAAGTGGTGCTGTAGCTGAAGTGGTAGAGCGCTGGCCTTGAGCTGAAGAGCTGAGGGACAGCGCCCAGGCCCAGAGTTCAAGCCCCACGGCCGACAAAAAAAAAAAAAAAAAAAAAAGAGTGGCCAGTGCATCCTGTAGCCAGCTGCTGTTAGGGGCGCTTTAGAGGATAGGTAGGTGCTAATTCTCACCCCCATTTTGAAGATGAGCACGTGTGAGAGGTAGAGAGGGAGCTGGGGTAGCCTACCGCATGTGTAAGTCTTTAGGGATCCTACAGTACCTATGCCCCAAATCTTACGTGAATAGAGGTTTCTTTGCCTTAATGAGAAAGCTGTGGGCCTTTGGGCCAGAACTGTGGTGGGGCTCAGACTTCACTGGTTTCATTCATGTTACACTAGCTGGATCTAGTGATTTCAGGAGGCAGAATTGAGGCACTGGTTTGTTCTTCACTTGCTAGGTGGTAGGTAAGCTGCTTTGTACCACATAGAATGTTGCCCCTATTGGCAAATAATGCACTTGAGTGACAAGAGCAGAGAGCTTAGCTGGCTGCTTTGGATAGTAATTGCCTACTTTGACTTTGTATTTAGGCTGTCTCCAGGTTTTGTATCTTTTTTTGTTGTTGGTCATGGGGCTTGAACTCTTAGTTTGTGCGCTATCTCTGCGCTCTTCAGCTCAAGGTGAGCACTCTACTACTTGAGCCACAACACCACTTCCGGTTTTCTAGTGGTTTATTGGAGAGAAGAGTCTCACAGACTTTTCTGCCCGGGCTGGCTTTGAACCATGATCCTCAGATCTCAGCCTCTTCAGTAGCTAGGATTATAGGCGCGAGCCACCTTTTTTTTTTTTGGTTGGTCTTGGGGGCTGTCCCTTAGTTCTTCAGCTCAAGGCTAGCACTCTACCACTGAGCCACAGCGCCACTTCGGCTTTTTTTTTCTTAGTGGTACTGAGGAATCCAACCCAGGGCCTCATGCATGTGAGACAAGCACTCTTATCACTGAGCCACCTTCACAACCCCCATTTTTTTAAAAAATGGATTTGGCGCTTGAAATTGGGGCCTAGGCACTGTTCCTGAGCTCTTTTACTCAAGGCTAGTTTTCTACCACTTTGAGCCAAAAGCTGCATTTCTTGTTTTCTGGTGTTTAATTAGAGATAAGAGTCATGGACCTTCCTGCTCCAGTTGGCTTCAAATCTCAACCCTCAGATCTCAGCCTCCTGGGTAGCTAGGATCACAGGCCTGAGCCACCAGTGCCCAGCCTCTGTAACTTTTTTTTAAAACTAAGAGTTCTCGCCGGGCACCAGTGGCTCACGCCTGTAATCCTAGCTATCCAGGAGGCTGAGATCTGAGGATCATGGTTCAACGCCAGCCTTGGCAGGAGAGACCATGAGACTCCTATCTCCAATAAACCACCAGAAAATCGGAAGTGACTGTAGCTCAAGTGGCAGAGCGCTTGCCTTGAGCTGAAGAGCTGAGGGACAGTGCCCAGGCCCAGAGTTCAAGCTCCACAACTGAACAAAAAAAGAAAAAAGTAAACTAGAGTTCCCAAAACTAAGTTAATCACTTAAATCTTGCCTTCCGGTGCCTGTGATCCTAGCTACTTAGGAGGCTGAGATCTGAGGATTTAGGTTGAAAGCTAGCTTAAGCAGGAAAGTAGTCCATGAGACTCTTATCTCCAATTAATCATCAGAAAACCTAAAGTGGCCTTGTGGCTCAAATGGTAGAGCATTTGCCTTGAGCTGAAGAGCTCAGGAACAGCGCCCAGGCCCAGAGTCCCCACAACCGACCAAAAAAAAAAAATTTGCCTGGTGCCAGTGGCTTACATGTGTAATTCTGGCTACTTAAGAAGAATTCGGGTTCATCCCAGTTAGAAATGTTTCCTAGACTGCATCTCTAAAATAACTAGCAAAAAGCAGGGCTGAGGTATGGCGTAAGTGGTAGAGCTATGCAAGGCAGTGAGTTCAAACCCCCAGTAATGGCCACAGAAACATCTCTTTGGAGGACAAGTAGACGGAGAAAGTGTATAATCTGAAAAACAAAAGAAATGGAGGATTTTCAGATCTACATGCTCCTGTTTGGGAGGAAACCCAGGGCCTCCTGATTCTAGGCAGGCGCTTCCCACTGAGCCCTGCCTACCTCCGCTTGCCTCCTGAGTCTGGGGTAGAGGCTGAGGGCCCTTCTGTCCCACATGGAACTGCTAGTAAGGCTGCTTCTCCAGATGATGTTGAGATGAGGCTTGGTGGGGGTGGGCGGTCCTGGACACCCAGTGCGGGGAGTGACAGGGTCTCTCCTCGCAGGAGCTCCCTCTGAGGAGCAGCCCCAGCCCCGCCAATAGTACTGCTGGCACCGTGGACAGCGACGGTTGGGACGCCGGCTTCTCCGACATTGCGTCTTCAGTGCCCTTGCCAGTGTCCGACCACTGCTTTGGCCACCTGCAGCCCACCCTCCTGCAGAGAGCCAAGCCAAGCAACTTCCTGCTGGACAGAAAGAAAACGGACAAGCTGAAGAAGAAGAAGAGGAGGAAGCGAAGGGATAGTGAAGTGCCTGCAAAGGAGGGGTACAGGGGGGGCTTGCTGAAGCTGGAAGCTGCCGATCCCTATGTGGAAGCCCCTACAAGCCCCGCCCTGCAGGAGATTCCTCAGGCCCCCGGTGACCCCTGCTCGGGTTGGGACTCTGACACCCCCTCCAGTGGCTCTTGTGCCACGGTGTCACCCGATCAGGCCAAAGAAATAAAAACTGAAGGCAAGCGGACTATTGTCCGGCAGGGAAAGCAAGTGGTATTCCGCGACGAGGACAGCACTGGCAATGACGAGGACATCATGGTGGATTCAGGTGAGTGTCCCTCGGGGGACGGGACTACCTGTGCGCTTTCTTGGAGGGTGACTGCAGTCCTCAGGGACAGGGTGCAGGGAGGAGACCAGGAGGCAGCAGCCCGGTGCCTCCACCGACATCAGCACCTACAGAGGTGTTGTTCATGAGTGCATGTCTTGCGGGAAACACCTGTCCCCCACATCGCTGCCTTGCAATGCACTGGCTGCGTGTTGTGAGAGGTGTGAGCGTGTGTAGAAGTTGGGGAATGGATTCCAGTCACACTTGGCTGCCCTGTCTGGATGTAAAACTCTGGGGGGAGTGGGCCCCTCAAAAGTCTTCCCCCCTCCGTACTATGAGTTTGTTTCACCCTCCAGATGATGATTCCTGGGATCTGGTGACCTGCTTTTGCATGAAGCCGTTTGCGGGCCGCCCCATGATAGAGTGTAATGAGTGCCACACCTGGATTCACCTGTCCTGCGCGAAAATCCGCAAGTCCAACGTTCCAGAGGTGTTTGTCTGCCAAAAGTGCCGGGACTCCAAGTTCGACATCCGCCGATCCAACCGTTCCCGAATGGGCTCCCGGAAGCTGTTTCTGGATTGACTGTGGGCTGGTGAGGAGGTTCCAGGAGAGGGACTGGAAGAGATGGGCTCTGTGGCCCTTCTTGGTTGATTACAGAACTCCCAGCTCTGGTGCAGACAGATCCTGCCATTCAGGTGCCTAAGCAAAAGGACAGGCTGTCTGGAGGTAGAAACAACTTAGCCATCGCCCGAACAGAACCTTAGCTGGCCAAGCTGCTGCCAGAGTTGTGTGCGTGGCAGTGGAGGTTTGGTTTCACTTGCCTGAGAGTGAGGGCGCGTGGACCTCTCCGAGTTTAGCTGTAGCTGGTGTTAACTTGCCGCCCTGTGGGACCTGTGAGTGGTGACTGGTTATCCTGCCTCTGTCTGGTGGGGAGAGATGGTCACTTTCCCTCCCTGACAATGAACAGCCATATGTGTTTCTTCTCCAGTGTCCGTTTACCATTAGTGTCCAAGTTGCCCCTTCCTTCCCAGTCCCCACTCCCTCCCCTACCTGGCTGCTCCTGTGGCCGGGGAAGCCCCAGGGTGCTGGGTTGCTCGGTGATTCTTTGGCTTCCCGTTGTTTAAAGGGACAGTTTGTGGCCACCTCTGGAAAGGGGGTTGAGGAGGCCTGTGTTTGACTCCTGTTTTGCACGATGTTAAAAAACCTGTTGTTTTGCACGATGCAGCCGAAGTATTGGCCGTATCTCTCTCCGTGGGTCCTCTTCTCTCGTGGTGGTGGACAGGCCTGGGGGGTCCTGGAAGGACAAGCTGTTCTCCAGTACCCCCTTGTTCTCTGTTGCAGCCGTGACCCACAGACTAGACATGAGTGCTGTTCCTATAGTAAAGTAATGGGTGAGAACCACTGCGAGGAGCTGCGGTGGTCATTACTGTGTTGATTGCAAGATGAGTCCTGGCTGCAGGCTGGCCTGCGACTCCACGGGGCAAGGTTGGGACTTCATCCCCCTTCTGGTTTGAATTCGTGAGTAGGTAGTAATGCCAACACTGGCCTCAGGAACGTGTTGAACCATGCACAGGTCTGCACTGGGGTCCTGGCCTGGAATCCCCCCCCCCGCCCCTTTGAGGTGTAGGTCTGGAGAAACTAAGGAGTTTGCACCTGACATCTGCCCCCTTCCCGCCCCCCGGAACTCTGCCCTCAGTACACTGGTGCTTTTGGGGCTTGAGGAGGGCTCTGCGCTAGACGTTGTCATTGCTCTTCAGTTCAAGTACTTGTTCTCAACTGTTTGTAAGAGAAGGGTGGGTGTGTTCTAAGCCTTGTTTCTTGTCAGGCATGGAAAGGGAAGAATGCCCACGCTGGTCATATTTATTTGCTCTAACTTATTTGCCGTAGGATGGGCCCAGGTGTCCCTGCTGGGACCTTAGCAGGCCACCAGCCCACCTCCGGGCTCGCACCCAAACACCAGGGCGCTGATCTGGCTAAGGGCAGCCATGTTTTGTCCTAATTTCTCTCTCGCTTGTCCAGTCAGCTAGCTGTCTTAGCTTTCAAAACTCTCGTTGCTTATTAAAGTAGAAATAGTTTCCGAAGCTCGAGTTTGTTGTGAAGATCCCAAGGGAGAATTCTGTAGAGAAAAATAGCTGTTTTAGAAACAATGTGGGGCCCAAGCTGTTGTCGGTGACTGGGCACAGTCACCCAGGACAAGCTGGGGGAAGAATTTGCCAAAGCCCTGCCCCGTGACAATGCCTGTCCAGTGTCTTCACCATGAGAATAACCAAAGTTCCAAAGTGTTTCTTTTCTTTTTTAATAGCTCTGTGGGGTTTTAAAAGTGCATTTACGAATCCACGGGGTTTAGAGCAGAGCGGCCAGCGCTGGTGCTCGGCGGCTGGCAGTTGGACGCCACGCGCGTCCTGCGAATCTCCTCTCCACTTCTGTTCCTTGCTTTTGCTTTTTTTGGTTTAACAGGTCTACCCCTGTGGGCATGTCTGGCAGACACCTGGGCTTGGGGGTAGACTGAGCTGGGCAGCTGTCATCAGCTTCTTTATGCATAAAGTAGGCATGACCCATCTAGGGCTCCTGGTGGGTGGTGAGTGAAGCGGGGAGAGGGAAAGGACCCCCACAGTAGGCCTCTCCCACGGGCTCTGACCAGGCCAGTCACTGACCATCGTTTACATGGTTCTGTGTAATTAAAGTTTATGTGTATAAAGCAAGCTGTTTCTGTGAAACTGTATATTTTGTAAATAAAGATATTACTACTTTGCTCCAGTGTCCGGCCGCAGGTGTGTGTGTGTGTGTGCGCGCGCGCGCGCGGCCGCAGGTGTGAGTGTGCGCGCGCGGCCGCCAGGTGTGTGTGTGTCAGTGAGCATGCGCGGCCGCCAGGTGTGTGTGAGTGAGCCTGCGCGGCCGTAGGTGTGTGTGTGAGCCTGCGCGGCCGCAGGTGTGTGTGTGTGTGTGTGTGCACGCGGCCGTAGGTGTGTGAGCCTGCGCGGCCGCAGGTGTGTGTGTGAGAGCCTGCGCGGCCGCAGGTGTGTGTGTGTGAGCCTGCGTGGCCGCAGGTGTGTGTGTGTGTGTGAGCCTGCGCGGCCGCAGGTGTGTGTGTGTGTGAGCCTGCGTGGCCGCAGGTGTGTGTGTGTGTGTGAGCCTGCGTGGCCGCAGGTGTGTGTGTGTGTGCGCACGCGGCCGCAGGTGTGCGTGTGTGTGTGCGCGCGCGGCCGTAGGTGTGTGTGAGCCTGCGCGGCCGCAGGTGTGTGTGTGTGTGAGCCTGCGCGGCCGCAGGTGTGTGTGTGCGTGCGCACGCGGCCGCAGGTGTGTGTGTGTGTGCGCGCGCGGCCGTAGGTGTGTGTGAGCCTGCGCGGCCGCAGGTGTGTATGTGCGTGCGCACGCGGCCGCAGGTGTGTGTGTGCGCGCGCGCGGCCGCAGGTGTGTGAGCCTGCGCGGCCGCAGGTGTGTGTGTGTGTGTGCGCGTGCGCGTGCGCTGCGCGCGCCCCCCTGACCCCGCGGCCCCCCACCTGCCCTGGCCCCCGCGGCCTGGCGCTCTTAACCCTGGGCCCCGGTGCCAGGGCTCTCCACTCCCCCCCCCCCCGGGGACCTCGGGGAACCAGGCTGCCTGGGGGTGGGGGGCTTGGCAAACGCACCCCGGGCTGGGGCCAGGGACTGGGCCCTGAGTGGGGACCCTATGCGGGGCCCGTAGCGACGCGGGGTCGGCGGAGCGGGTCGGAAGTGGAGCCGGCCCGCGGCCCGCCTCCCGCCCGGGAAGCCCGTGGGCCCCGCCCCTGCGCCGGGCCCCGCCCCGCCCCGTGCCCCCAGGCCCCGCCCCGCGCCCCCAGGCCCCGCCCCGCGCCCCCAGGCCCCACCGCCGCCATCTTTGTTAGGGGCAGCGGGCCCGGCTCCGAGATGCCGAAGTCGTGCGCGGCCCGGCAGTGCTGCAACCGCTACAGCAACCGCAGGAAGCAGCTCACCTTCCACCGGTGAGGAGCGGCGGAGCGGCGGGACGGGGCCGGCCCGGCGCGGGGGCTCGGCCCGCCTGCGCGCGCGGCTCTGTGCCCGGACGTCGCAGGGGCGCGGCGCGCGGTGCGCGGTGCGCGCGGGCGGGCGGGGTGGTGCCCGCGTTGCCTCCGCCGGGCGCTGGGACCTAGGCGGCGGCGGGGAGGGGGGAGGCGGGGCGCCGGCCGTGGAGCCGCTCCGGCGGGGCCCGCGGCGGGGAGCGGCGGGGAATGGGGGGGAGCGGCCTTCGCCCGGCCCGCGGCCTCCCCGCCCGCCGCGCTGCTGAGAACGCGTCCATCCACGCCAGCGGGCCGCCCGCGTCCGCGCCCTCGGTCCCAGGCCTGGAGTCCTCGGTGATGTCCCGCAGCGCGCCGGACGCGGCCAGGCCCGTCCCTCGGCTCTGCGCACGGCCTGCTCACCTACCACTCTTCTGGCTTTTTTGTGATTCGTGGGAGTTTATAAAGTCTTCTGGACTTTGCTGCCCGGGCTGGCTGCAAACTACCATCCCCAGATCTCAGCCTTCCGAGGAGCCGCCATTGACCCACTGGTGTGCTTGTGTGTTGTACTTTCTGTTTACAGCAGCTTGAGTTCGTTGTTTTCCTTGCTGCATAGTATTCCACAAATTCACATACCAGAACTTACCTATTCTGCAATTGAAGGACATCTTGTTGGCTCTATTTTTTTCTGGCCACAACAACAGTTTACAAGGACCTGACTGTGCACATGTCCTTATACTTCCATCCAGTGTTTATTTTATTTTATTTTTGGTCAGTTGTGGCGCTTGAACTCTGGGCCTGGGCGCTGTCCCTGCGCTCTTCAGCTCAAGGCGAGCGCTCTACCGCTTGAGCCACAGTGCCGCTTCTGGTTTTCTGGTGGTTTATTGGAGTCTCATGGACTTTCCTGCCCAGGCTGGCTTTGAACCGTGATCCTCTTGTCTCAGCCTCCTGACAGGGCCACTGGTGCCCACCGGCTTCCAGTGTTTATTTTTATGCTGGTCTTGGAGCTTGAGCTGGGCCTAGCTGCTGTTCCTGAGCTTCTTTGTGCTCAAGGCTAGCGCTCTGTCACTTGAGCCACAACACCACTTTTTTTTTTTTTTTTTTTCTGAGTAGTTTATTGGAAATAAAAGTTTCACGGACTTTCCTGCCGGGTATGACTATGATCCGCAGATCTCAGCCTCCTAACTAGGATTGCAGGTGTGAATCGGGCGCATGGCTCCTCCAGTGTTTCAGAACTGCTCTCCTTTTTTTGACTCCACTCTTGCTGTTTGCACCAGTCATTCCTATGCTGGGAGCTAGTAAGTCACCTAGGGACTCAGGAGGCTAATATCTGGAGGCTAACTTGGGCAGAGAAGTTCACTAGATTCTGTCTCCAAAATAAGCATCGAAAAGGAGGCATTCGCCTAACAAGCAGGGAGTTCAAACCCTGGTACTGCCAAGAGCAAAACCCCTCTCCCTTCGTCCTGGCCCTCTTCCTGATCTTCCTTTGCTTGTGTCACTGGAGATGGAGCCCAGTGCCTCCTTCCACTGCCATGCAACTGCTCCTTTTCCCTGCTTTGGGTAAACCTTTGCTTTTGTTTTTTTCAGTGGTGGGGAGTGCACCAGGGCCTTGCACACCATTGGTCAGACGCACTGGGCCCTCCCCCAAGCCCTGAGCTCATCTTAATCCAGAACTGTCTGATGCTCTGCCTCTGTCCCGGCTGTCCCCTCCCGGCTCCCTGTCCCACACGCGACATGCGGTCAGCTGTGGCCTTGCCCGTGCCCGGTGCCGTCCCCCCATGCTGCCTCCAAGCCCTTGTCTCACCGGCCTTGTGGGTTACGGGCCATCCCGCTCCCCACCTGCCACCCTCCGTGGTAGGCATCCGCCTTTCATAGTCCTTGACCAGCCTCAGCGCCTGGCCTCCAGAACACAGCTGCACGCAGCCTCCGTGCCCTGCCTCCTCCTAACGCTGCCCCACGCCAGCTGCTGCCCCTCATGGCTGCCAGAGTGGACTCAGTCACAGCTGGCATGGGCCCAGGGTCTCCAGGGACCCCCAGCTGCCCGAGGCCCTGGGCCTTGCCTTCCCCATGACCCCGCTCCTGCCGCCGCTTCTCAAGGCTGCAGTGTCACCTGGGCCATCCCTGCCGGCCCCGCGTGGCCTCCTGCGTGCCCACAGTCCCTGCTCTCTCAAGTGTGGGCTCCTGGGTGGCACCCCATCTCCAGCTCAGCGTCCTGTGCTTGGGCTCTTAGGTGCTCTTCATCAGCAGCTTTATTAGAGGCTTCTAGAAACTGAAAGCCATTCAGTCAGGTGGGGGTACTGCTTCTAAAGCCGTCCCTTGGCACGCTTGGCTCGCAGGTTCCCGTTCAGCCGGCCGGAGCTGCTGAAGGAGTGGGTGCTGAACCTGGGCCGGGCCGACTTCAAGCCCAAGCAGCACACGGTCATCTGCTCGGAGCACTTCAGACCCGAGTGCTTCAGCGCCTTCGGCAACCGCAAGAACCTCAAGCACAATGCTGTGCCCACCGTGTTTGCCTCGCGGGACCGGGTTCAGGTAGGGCGTGGCCGCGCCTCCAAGCTCAGACCTGGGGGGGGGAGAGGCATTTGCATGGGGAGCAAAAGGAGAGGCTATGCGGCCTCCAGGAAGTGTTAAGCGTACCTAGCTACTGAGGAGGCTGCGGTCTTTGGATCTGGGTTCAAAGCCAGCCTGGACAGGAATGTCACAGACTCCAGTTAACCACTGAAAAGCCAGAAGTGGAAGTATAGCACTTGAGAGAAAAAACTAAGGTCCTGAGTTTAAGCCTCAGTACTGGCACACATACAGTTGTAATCTAAAGCTACTTTAATCCAGGCAAGCCAGGCATTGGTGGCTCATGCCTGTAATCCTAGCTACTCAGGAGGCTGAGATCTGAGGATCTTGCTTTGAAACCAGCCCAGGCAGGAAAATCTGTGAGACTCTTATTTCTGGTTAATCAGCAAAAAAAGCCAGAAGTGGAGCTGTGGTTCAGTTGGTAGAGTGCCAGCCTGGAGTCAAAAAGCTCAAGAGCATGCTGGGCCGAGTTAGAGTGCCATGGTGGGAACACACAGCATTCTGACTGGTGACTGAGCTGAGCTTGGCTCTGCACTCGCTGTTGGAGGTGGAGCAGCTGGGAGCCCTGCTGGGCCTGCGCTGGGTTGGGAGGAGAGAGGGCTGGCTGAGGAAAGAGGCTGGGGCAGCTGCAAGGGGAGCAGAGGGATTCAGGCAGCGGGGGAGGGGGGGTGGGGGTAGGGTGGGAGGAGAGGGAGAGGCAGGAAGGGGGGGCGTGGGAGTGGGCGGCCAGTGGGTTTTAGGGAGTCGTGGCTCTGCCGCTCCATCCCTGGCCTCGGCTTGGGGATTGAGGCTCAGGCACTTCCCTCTGGCTTTTGGAGGCCGGTGGCTGGCTCAGCCGCCAGCATGGCCAGGATTTGGGGGTGGACCGTGTCTCTTTGTCCAGTAGGCAGCAGAGCAAGCAGCGTCTCCGGTCTCTGGTGTCGATGCCATCGGCCGGGCGGGGGCGCGAGTTTCTGGGCAGCACGTGCAGCCACGCATCCCGGAGCGCGTGGCTCTGATTCCAGAGTTTGGCTGCGCGTGCGCACACGGCTGTGGGACACGGGCTGGCGTCCAGCAGGGCACAGCTTGGGCTGGGGCAGGTCCTGGTCGTTGGACATGGCGGCCTGGCCGTGCCAGTCGTGGGGGGTGTGTGCCCTCTTGAGCCAGAAGGTGGCCAAGCGGCGGGACGCGCCGTGGGCTCAGGTGCCGGCCCTGTGTGGTTCTGCCGGGCCTGGGC